TTCTATAAGGACCCCAACATGCATTATTTATGCGATAAGTTCAGTGGAAGAGGTGAAAAATTTCCTCAGGTTTCTAACCATGAATATTAATATTAGATATGTCAACACAAGGTAAAAATATTATTTATATAATCTTGTGTATCTTTCTTTAATAATTCATACTGTTTGGACAGGTCATTGTGAAAAATAATTTAAATATTATAATAAACAGTACAAATTCTGAATCAGAAGAAGATGACTTATATAATTAATAATGAGTTTATGGCAGTTAATCTTCCCAATCATCTATTTTGATTTCTTTTTTTGCTGATAATGAGAAAACCTGAAGAAAGCCAAGTCAACAAAAAAGAGTTTATAAAAAAAAAAAAGGTTAAAATAAATAGAACCTTTCAATATCATTCCTGGTTAATTTTCAAATTGCATGTCAATATTTGCAAATAAAAATTTACAATATATCATGGACAGTTTATACAAATTGTGTTTATTATTATTATGCAGTTTGGTGCATCAGAATTTGGAAAAAATAATGCAGTTTATTTGCTGAATTATTTGTTCATATTAATATGACAAAAATCATTTTATCAGGTTATAGAATATTCTACGTTTAAATAAATGAAGGATGCTCTTTTGGGGAGTAATTCTAAGTGTGCTATAAATCAGATTTCCTAGTGAACATCAACCCTGTTCATGTTGTTGACAACAAAAGGATATGGTTTTATGTCTCACAGTTGAAGAAATCCTAATTCCTAGGGCAGTATTAAGCACCTTCAAGACTTAGTATTAGTGCACTAACAGTCCTTCAATGAGTAATTCCTATGGTGTTTCCATTCTCTCTGAAAGTTGAAGGACTAATATAAAATGTTTCTTAATCCTGACTGCCTACTCATTTTTTACAGAAAACTCCATGCAAAAAGTGACACTCATGAAGAGTGGAGGTGAATCAACCACATGAAAAAAGAGTGTGAATGTTGAGGAGGAAATGAAGATGACAGAACTTAGATTTTGTGTAGTAGATACAGCATGAAAGAAGGTTGACTTGTTGCATTTTCACATACATCAGTTGACTTAGAGAGAGATTTTCAGTATTGAGAAGAGTTAGGCCAAAACTGACTTGCATGTGTAATTATCAAAGTCTAATTCTATTCTTGCAATGAAATTACCTTCTTTGCTAATGAATTAAAAAGTTTCTAAACATCATCTTGTTTGAACAGAAATAAGTTGAAAGTCCACTTCAATCATTTGAATTTATTCAAATGTGCCAGGCTATACTAATTATAATTTGAATAAGAAAACTCTTCCAGAAAGTGATTTTAAAAATTTGATAAAATCCTATCCAAACGTGTATTCAGTGCTTGGATGAAAGAATGAAAGACATAAAAAATTTCTAATTAACTGAAAGATGATTCATCAGAGAATATTCAGTCCGAATATGTTGTTATCCAAACAGACAGCATTAAAAAAGGGAAAAGTCCATATTGATAAACTGCTTAACTAGTTAGTATTAGCGAATTAGTGTCAGGAAATAATTTGATTGACATTATATTTGACAATGAGAAGTCCATGTCTCAAATTGCTGAGAGAGTTCAACGTGAATTTACAGACGGTGACAGATGTAATGAAAGTGTATATTACGTCGTCGTAAATTATAATAAGAATAAAATTATTGACCGAAATGTATTCAGCAATTGGGAGACAAATAATTCTGCGCGTGACCCGAGGAATGTTGCTCCTGCTTATTATGACCGTAGCCAATCAAATATCCTTGATAATTTGAAAATACGAATTGAGCGGTATGGATGCAAAGGGCAGCTTATCGTTTGAATCAATAGAACAAGTTGGCGTACATGTGAAACACACATCATATCAGATATATCCATTGGAGTGTCAAGTAAAGTTGTCAGTGAAATAATTATCACCTGGATCTCTTACTCGTTTAATCGCCAGCTTTTATGTAAAAGACTTGACTGCGAAACAAATCTATTATTGGCGCAATTCAATTCTAAGTAAGAGACATAAAGATCCAATTCACTTAAGAGAAATATCAAGTTGCCGTCTTCTAAGGTTTACTAAAACAGACAATGACTGCCCGTCGTTAAATTATCTAAATTAAGAGACACCACAGCTCAGGTCGACCTTGGCTAAATCTCTACTAGTCAGCTCTTTCGCGGTAGTTGACTCAACGCCTTCAAGTATCAATGCGTTGCTTGGCGATCTATTTACATGCTTAAATAGGTTAGTTGTTAATGATTATGACCCCGGCAGATAAGACACTAACGATGTCGCTTTCTCTGGTTTGTAAGAAACAGAAACATAGGAACGGTATCTAATTAAAGGGTTAGCAGAGTCATTGATTCAGTGAAATTGTACCTCAAGTACTTAACTTTTGCAGAGGGAATCAGCAGTCAATGCAGATACTGCAGTTGGGTGCACAGGTAGTTATTGCATGCATATGTTGCCGTGTAACCAGCATTACAGGTCCGACAAAAAATACTTGTGTTTAAAAGTTAAGCGTTAGTTTTTCATCGATGTCATAATTTGCAAAATGCTAAATCACACGGTAATCACTTGAACGCGGGGGGGTTTATTAGTCACAATACGATTTCGCTTGGTTAAAATATAAGCGATTGCGTAATTCGAGGGGTAATTCATGAACCTTGGCACAATACTCTAGAAATTCGCACAGCCCTGCATGACGAGCATTGTGAGCCACTATAGCGGGGCGTATAACATTTGAAAAAAAGAAAAAGTTTCACCATTCTATGCATCAGAGTGAATTGCATTGCAGCTGAGTACGGTAAAACAGGAACTTGGGCAAATTAAAGACGAACGAACCCTAAAATTGTCAAATTCAAATTTAATGTTCGAACGAGTAAACACAATATTTAGAGTAAACTATAATTAGTAATGATGAAATTGAAGGCATAAACAAGGAAAACCTTGATATGTCGCTATGACATCACGGTCAACGGGTATAGTGGGCATGGTATGGGTGATGAGTATGATATGGGTATGGGTATGGGTATGGATGGGTATGATTTATGATGTGTATGGGTATGGGTATGGGTATCGTATTGTATGGGTAATTAATTGTACAAACCCTGAAAGCTTTCAAGTAAACACATACGGAGAATAATATTGATTTGCAATCATAACAAAGATCGTCATCGTCAGAATATGGGGGATGGGGAGGAGGTGGAAAGGGAGGAATAATTGATCGAGTGTAATATAATACAGCAGTCAGTCATACCGGTTTTTTATATGCATGTCGGATGTATCTTTCTCTTTTGAGAGAGTTATAGTGGCGATGTGATGTTGCAGCTGACACAGTGAATAGAATGTGATTGGTAGAAAAGGCTACAATGTGCATTGCGTAAAAAAAACCATGACACTATCGATTCTTAAGACTTGAGTAAAAAAAAAATAATAAACCTTATTCCATCGACAAGTTTGATGAAAAAAAAATGTGTACGTTGGTTGGTACAACGTTGTCGGGTGAAAGAGGAGAAGGGATTGTCACAGTATCAAAGATGAAAAGCTCGCCATATCCCCAATGCCCAATAATATGTATATGGTAATTTGTATAAAATACTATATATATTCGGATAATTTGACATATGATTCTCCAATGTTCACCAACCCTCTAATTGTCATATTTTTGTAACAGACTTTCGTCATATTACTCTATTTATAGCGGCGTAGACCTGATGCTGAGGTCTTTTGATCTCTGTGGCAAGTTGCACAAACTGGGGAACCGCAGAAAAATTTCTTTTCTTTTTTTTTCTTTGTAATAATGTGTTAGAGATAAGAGTACAAGAACAGTTAGTGTGTTAGACATGTATATATTAGTATTAGAGTATTATTATGGTCACATTTAATATATTGTTGATTTATCACACGATTTTATTGCTTGTATATTTATTTATACATAAATAAATCATTTGTATTATTTACATTATTTACATTATTTATATAATTCATTTCAAATTACGTATCCATAATCGATTCATCCGTCATCTCATCAAATATGTTTAACACGAGTATAAATCTCATACTTTTAAATACCCTACACTTTCAACTTGAGCTTTCACCAAAAAAATACGTACCTGATACTAGAAATCATAAATCTTATTAGAGAATGGATAGGTATTATACAATAAACAATTCAATCAACTCTTCAACATCAAACAGACCATTGGATAGTGGAATCAATAATTTAATAATGTGGGACGCTCAGGCATTCCGAAGTCTTCATAAACTCTGGCTAACTATTGTTGCTATCGCATTGACTGTGGTAAGTTGAAAAATGCATCAAGAGGAAAAGGGGACGGACGTATTTTATTCGATATGTATGAAAATCTTGATTTATATAACCAACATTCTCGAAAATAATCAAATCCTCACTCACCCGAAACTAAATCGCTTCTTTTTCTTTTCGTTTTCCCAACGGTGACTCGAAAATTTTTTCACTTCACCCATCCCCTCCTCCCTCCCCTTTCCCCCCCTGATGTAGATTCCAACATGTTTGCTATCGCTTTCCAAATCGAACGCAAAAGTCGCAACAACAACTACTTTCATGCAAATCGATCAAAACAAAGTTTCTCCTGGCGTTGTACTTACCCCAACATTAGGACTATCCGGTGAACTTGTGATTACTGTATGCATATGGATAATTGCATTTTCCGGACTGATTGGGAAAGGGAGAACGATCGGACAATTTGTATCCTTTTTCTCTTTCTCGTATGATGCAAAAGAATCATGGAAGATAGTAGAGATCAAAATAGAGTTAAGAAGAGTGTTGATGTTGGGGGGAGTAGAGGGGTAGTAGAGGGGGAGTAGAGGGGGAGTAGAGGGGGGGAGTAGAGAGGGGAGGGATAATCATAGCCGAGTGTGTGACGGTGGATCGTTCATCATCAACGGCTGTTAATCTTTCCCCTTTCTCATCCTGTCATCCAGATATTTTTTTCCCAATCCTTAACTCAAAAGGTATCATTTCTAAACAGATGTCGATATTCCTCATGGTGTTCAGCTTCTTGCAAACTGTAGGAGCTTGCGTTACAGTCCTCAATAACCGTCATTGGATTTCTAAGAGTTTGAGCTTATCGTGGCAGAGGGCTTATGAAAGGAGTGCGGATTTGATAGAGGAAATTCAATACGAGGTTAGCTTTCTTTTCTTTTCTATTCTGAATGATTTTATGTACGAGAAAAGGTTGGGGGCTGACGGAATACTTGTCTTAGTTCTCTTGCAAAGGATATTATAGCACAACGGATAGAGCGGCTAATATTGCCGAGACCTTCCAGATGCCGTGTGATTCAATGCTGATACAACGCTTTGGACCTCAGCTTTATCATGTGGCCTTGTTTATGTTGTTAGCGCGGCTGGTCCAGGCAAGTAAAAGGAGTTTGTATATAAAAAATCCGGCAGTTGTCAGGGTTAATCTATTATTACATACAACATCCAATCATCTAACCCAGCGTCTTACTGTCAACAGCTTATCGGGGTCATAACACTCGCATATATTCACCATATAACGGCGAACGATGATACTTTATACGAATATTCATACGACTTTTCGTACGATTACGTGAGAGAAGATGAAGCAGAATTCGATAGGCGGGCAAGTTACTACCTGACACGACAAGAAATGATATCGATACCGAGCGAGATGAGGACAGGCGGTAGAATAACCTTGTGATGACGACGCTACAACAGATCAAGCGAGCAATATTGAAATAACGGCAGCAACGACACTCAGCGCGACTACCGTCACTTTCCCTCCCCTACTCTCTTTCCACACCCCCGTCGTCACCATCACATTACTTATCAACAGACATATCTGTGATGTATGCATGATGAAAGATGAAGCTGACAAGGACGAGTCGTAAAGAATTTTGGGATTTACTCCACCGGGAATGTCACATAATAGAATGCCAGATCCAAATCGATCAACCAACACCACGTTAGACATTGTTATAACATAACGCGAGAATTCACTGGACGGAAATCCTGTGTTGGTCTGTAAATAATTTGTACAGGACAATATTTATTATAAAAAAAGAAGAGGAGGAGAAGAACAAATAATCGAGAACGAATATTGAAAGATCAGTGTAAAAGTGTAGATTTCAAATTGCAGATTGGACGTAGATCCTGTAAACTAGCTGAAAAATATAATTGATGTAAATGTATAAACAAAACCATTAAAAATGAAACCCACCACCCTCCTCCCTCCCTCCCCATCGCTCTGCGAGCAGGGAAGGGGGGGAGAGGGCGGAAAATAAATGTATAGGCTGGTTCGATTTACAAAGAATATCGTTTTTTTCACGCTAAACTGATGACAAATCGATGCACATAACTGCTTACGTCATGGGTTGTTTATTGTTCACGTTCACTAGCATGTGCACGACATATTGTTACCAAAGTAAGATTGATGTTGGCAAAATTTTCAAGTGAATCTCGATCGGAGGATTTTCTTTGTTGATATAATTTACTCCCGCTCCCTCTCTCTCTTTGACTGAAACGCTAACAATAAAGAATTTAGTTTCGTTTTCATGGGAACGGGGGGGAGAGTGATGTTACTGATAACGGATGAATATTTCACATGTTACTTCCCTTTTATCGCAAATGATCCACAAAAACAATAAAACAAAGAAACTGTGTGAACATCTCTTGCCGTATACACACTCTTTCTCAATAAAGTCCATCTTGATGCCTAGAACAAGAGTCGAAGTTGATGCACAACCAGAGATAATAGAAGGTCTTTGTATTGATGACGATCTCTGATCTTTTCGGTTGTTCGTTTTTCCTCCCTTTGAGCTTAAGATTTGGTTTCGATTTATCTTGTAGATTATGTTGAAGCAGATTTAAAATATTTTGGCTGGATAGAGTCCAAACTAGTCGGATTGAGGTATTATAACGCACAAGTGTCGGAAGGGCAAAGCGTGAGTAGAAATTGAAAACCAAAAACAGGTGTGGAATAAGCTCGAGTGACAAACAAACATCGCATATATGTATATATTTTTTAGGTAATTTTCTCCCGCGAGCCTGATAACAGTAATGATCAGTTGGCTATTCGGGCAGACAACATGTACGGTGAGCAAGTAAGCATTGGTAATAGGGCAGGGAGCATACAAAGTAAAAGTAAAATAATTACCAATCTTTTGTTTTTTGCAGGTTGGATATATAGGCAGAAGTGATGCTATGGTATTGGCACCATTAATTGACTTTGGTTATATAATACTGAAAGGTGAGAGACTTTTCAACAAAAAAACCATAGTGATTTACATGCTACTACCACTACTTACAACATACTTTGACATAGGCTATGTACATCAAGAACCCAATTTTTATGATGTACCAGTAACCATCAAGATATTCGGTCCACCCGAAAGAGAAGATTTTGCAACTATAAGAATGCTCAGTAAAGGAGTCATGTTTAATTTTCCAGGGAGTAGCAATAATTAGGCACAAGTAATAATAATCTTTGCCAATTCTTTTTGTTATTTTGATGATTGTTTGTTCTACCTTGTACATGTTCATATCCGTGAACGTTTGGGACATTGATTTTCTTTATGACGAGATAATCCGAGAGGATAGGATGGTGTTATCCAATTTACTTTTGCAAACATGAAATCTGGTAACGATTTGTTAGTTCGAAGCCGCGTATAGGAAACTTTTCATCCGGATAATACTGTATAAATTTGTATTGTAAATATTATATGTCAATTCATCACAACTTTTATATTGTCCGAGATGACTAATCTGTACTGGTTCGAATGTTATAGTTAGTGTGTGTGTGCGCGACCCCTTACATATTGATCCACTAATTAAGCAGGCTAATTGAAAATTTCAAGTATCCCCAAAGTCGGGAAATAAAACTCGCGTAAAACTTTTTTGCCGAAAAAACATAATGAAACGCAGACCCCACCCTCGTAAATGCAAATACATATGGCCAAGTCAAACACGACTTGTATTATATATATTTAATGGGGCAAAGCTTGACATTTGGAGAGTATTGACTGTATCTATAATATCTCTACTAGCAGTTACTAGAAGTGTAATGGAGTTTGTTGCGTTTCCAGTGATGCTGTCAACGTAAAACAATTAGAGAGCTCTCGTCAATTTTCGCGATCCAAGCTTTTACGTTTTTCTTTACGCATAACTTGTTGGTTATTTCAAGCATGTAACACATGCTAAGGCTAGTTTCGGTATCATTAATTCCATCGAAGTACATGAAGAATGTGAGAAGCAGAGAACTTGAAGAGATATTGCAAGATAGGTAAACGAGAGGAAATAACCAGCATTCAGTATTGTATAAGAAATGACTTGTTTCTGATAGCTTTATGAAGTTTCTGTATATGTGGGATATTTTTATTCATATACGCGGCGACTTTTACGTGTCCGCGCACGGTAACGTAACAAATACGGCAGCAATCCGTTGTAAACAATCCGAATATTCAACGTTAAGAAATACGCAACGTAATTAATGATTAACACAGTTTTTCTCGCCCAAAATAGGTATTCAATTCTTGACGTTTGCGCACGTTTAGCTTAATGTCCACGTCCTTTACGTTTAAGTAAAACCATCATAGTCAAGCTATTAAAATTGACCGAGGGAACCTCTGTCTGGCTAGAGTAAAAGGCAATATGTTGCTTTTGTATCTACGCTAATGAAATCCTTACCAAAAGTTTTCTGAAACGTCTGATAAATGCAAACATTCGTCGTGATTCTTCATCGGCAGAAACTATGCTTGAGCAGTTCAGACAATGTCGGGCAATTATATCAAAGAAAAGAGCCTTTGTTGGCGCAAAAGAAAAGTTAAACGTTATATAAAAGTGGTCGGAGTATATTTAACGGAATGTAATAATTTTATTTTTAAATTATTATGTACATTTACATCTATTAATCATTCGACATATATATAGTAACACCCCCCACGTCACGATTTAATTACAATCCCAAGCAATGAGGAGGCAGCAGCAGTGGAAGAAGAAGAGACGGTGGCAGAGGAAGAAGAAGAAGCAGTGGCAGAGGAAGAAGAAGTAGTGGCAGAGGGGATGCTGCAGACAAGGGTGTGAACAGCCGCAGGGATCCGTGAGGGGACATCTAAATCTTTGCCTCTAGTTTCAGGCAAAAACCAGGTAAACCCGAGACCCAACACCATAAGGATGGCAAGACTAAGCGGGCCTATAAAAGTCTTGTCGGCGTCGATCGTGAGCCACCGGAAAATTGTGTAGCTCGCAATGGTGCCCAGCCTGCCACAAGCTGATGCAATACCATAAGAAGTCGAACGGTATTGTGTGCACCATAGCTCCGCAGCAACGATAAAAGTAAGTGCATTAGGCCCAAAATTCTGGGCAAACTAGTAATTTAGGATGTGACAATGTTAATAAATCTATTATGAATATTATAATTTCAATAGACATTCTTATACTCACCATTATCACCGTAGAAAGAGTCAGATAGGTAATGTATCCCACCCCCGGGCCCGAGAAGTATCCAAACGCGATAAACAAAATGGCCGACGCAGCAAATCCAAGAGCCATTATGACTCTTCGCGGTAAATACGAGATAAATATCAGGGTGGCCAAGGCCCCCAATAGGGAACCACAGGACACGCGAAGGACATCATCAATGGCAACTTGCGGCAACACTCCATTCACATCAGTAATATTCCGACTAAGGTTTATATCGCTCAGACGTATATCTGAGCGATAACCATAGGCGCTCGCATCTACCACGAACCAAGCGCCACAGATCGCAACATATGTTACGAAATTTTTACGCAGGTAATTGACAAATCCCTTAGTCCATAAGAATATTCCCTCGTAGTGTCTGTGGTTTGCTTCGGGAATTTTCCATAGTCGTAAAAGGCCAAGAGCAACAACCGTGGGTATGAGCCCAAGGCCAACGACAAAGCGCCATATGCTATCAATTTGATCTGACTTGGCCGATATAGCCTCAACTGCCAGCGCGGTGCAAGAACCGCATATGTACAAAAGGAAAATGGCGGCCAGCATTATCGGTCTTTTATTGGTCGAAGCGTATTCCGCCACCGTCACTGAAATACAAGATAGGTTAAAACGAGTAGTAAGTATAGTAAAGTTTTGTGCAAATAGCTTATACATACGTATAGCTGACGGATATATGCCACCGATCCCGACACCCTGAAGGCTTTGCATTACCGCCAAACTGGTGGTAATCCTTAAACCGGGTCCGTCACCCAAAAAGGTAATAAAGAGGGTGCTGGCCAATATGACCATAAGGGTTAAGCTGTAGGCCTGTGTTACAATACATGTTAGAGTCCGGCATGAAATTAAAACTTGCTTTCTAGTTAAAACGAAGCGTTTCTTTTTAATACGAAGCAAACATACCCTCGTTCGGCCATACAAGTCGCCTACAACCCCAAAGATTAATTGACCGATGAGCATACCACCCCGAAGGCATATTTTGGCAGCCTCGACATTTTTATTTGTGGCGCTACTATATACCGCCGGCAGCACCAGAGGGAATAGATTACCAGAACTCATGATATAGCCTGCGGCGAATAAGGCCGCACCAGATGTAAGTAGTACGTGGGCCTCTGTTTCTGCGATTGGGCTCATGCTGATTTAGCGTAATGAAACAAATTTGACGTGGGGAGTCGGATCTTTTATGCTTATTGAATTGCAAGTCCATCCTTATGATATCTTCTTTGGGTATAACTAAGCCAATAGTTTATCCTTACTATTACGTTACTTTGGAGTAAAGTTACGAATGGAAGGCACAAGACTCGTACAATGCCATCCCCTAACTAAAAGTGATTGTTAATTGTTGTTGCCACGGACAATTAAACCTAAAATAAAGCTAAATTGGGGATATTGTAAATCGACGCATTGTCAATTATTAGTGTCAACATAGGAAGGTATTATTTAAATAAAGTCATAGCAACGGTCGATATCGGCATTAAAAACGAGGAAAAATTGTTGTATTGATTGTATACAACTGTTGACGAAATTTCCACAAACATTGGAAAACAAATATATACAATCGTTATTATACTATCCTGGCATATATTAATATGGTGACCAATTCTAATTTTAACCATGCATTCTCCATTGTTTATGTCAAAAAAAACAAATCTGTCTGTGATACGGTCACAAGATGTATAAACTTTGTTTAGTACATCGTTTGTCCTGACGATTTTAGCGTTCAGTCACACCTGTTTATTATTAGGAGCAGATAGTGCATAATAATATTGTGTGAAATAAGAAATTCAACCCCATTGCGATATCACGATGTGTTACACAATACCAAGACGGTGAGATGAATGCGCGGCCTTGCAACTCCGGTAAATTTGTAGTTGCTTAAGGCCTTTTCCCATCTGGCGTAAATAAATCTCCAACGCAATTAATTGCTATGTGATGACATTCGATACTGTAACCAATAGTACGGATAATTTCTTAGTAAGGCGGTGATCAGAAAAGTGAAAAGTAAACCATACCGAAGATGATTAGAAAAACAAAACTTAAGATCCTGGTTGGTAATTGTATAAATAATATTATAAAATGTAAGTTTTCAATCAAAAATTTTCAACTTGTGTTTCTGAACCAACGAATAATGTTTTGGCTCAACGATTGGCGAATATGGGATACCCCATCAGAGATAATAATAGAAATACCCCAAGATTTTTTGTGAGGACACTAAAATTGTTGTCCGTCACAGATGCAACTATTTTTATTACTTTATAAACTTAACCTTGTTATGCATGCAAACATACGAGTTATAATTAATTCAAAGACTAATATTTCGTACCTGGCAAAAGTTATCAACATGGATATTTATGTTTTGAGTTTATGAGAAATCGGAAGAGCTAATGTAAGTGCGAACACTTTGTCATCGACTGTTATATGTTTGTAACCCTGTTTGAGGAAAATAATTTGTTGTCTATTGAACAAAATTTTGGTACAAAACGTGTTAGCAACCTAGATAAAATTCTGTCCCAAATGCAAATGCCTAACAGTACAGCACTATTCATTATTATACGAAAAAATAAAGAGCAGTTCTGGAAATAATTATTTCGGTATAACAAAATTTGATTAACGAGAATGCAAACAGGATAAACAGATTTTGGCGGCACAGATTGCCCAATTTTTATTTTAGCGACATACAGGAGAGTATTGCACGCTTTATTTTTACAATAAAAAAATCTTATTAAGACAACAGTTAATGTTCTTTTATACCTCGAGTTACCAATACTTGAAGGCTGCGTTTTTGAATTTCTACCTTAACACAAGTTAATCTAATCGGGTTGAGTTTGTGACTTGGGGCAGTTTATGAAAACGTCTATATTTTAAGAATAAAAAAACTCTTGTGCAATTTTCGATGTTGAACGGGGTTGCGTTGTCTTACTGAGAAATAAAGTTTTCTGATTTACTGTTTTTAAATTCATAAGCCGCAAGATTTTCTGTAATTACTGTTCGATGATATCCTACAACTAGTCGCCTGATTTTTTGGCCTTTCTTTTTTTTGCGCCAAAGTTAATTTTTGTCAGGCAAAAAAGTGAAAATAATAACTTAAATGAGTTTTTACGATTCCTAAAAAATTAAATCAAAACAATAATAACAATCAATTTAGGTAATAACAGTATAGAGTCACATGAGCAGTTCTATATCAGTAATGTGTTCAGTTAAATTTCGACCGTGCAATACTTTTGGTTCCCTCTGTAGTTAGTGCGTCTGCATAACCCCTTACTATTACTATTACATATTGAAACTTAATTCTACCTTGAACGAAAATTCTAAGTGGGGTTATCGAACAATTATAAAGACAAAGTCAAAGATTAAACTCTTGTGACAATTCCAAAAAACATAATAAACCGCAAACTTGTACATAAATACAGTTTAACCTCTCCGAAAGGTAAATACATACGGTCAAATCAAACATGACTTGTGTTTACATACTTAATGGGCAGAGCTTGACATATGAAGAGCGTTGACTGTATCCATAATAACTTTACTTCAACTAGCAATTATTAAAATCTGTTGCCATTCTCAGTTGACAGTGTCAAAACATTTAGGGAGCTCTCGTTATTTTTCGTAATCCAAGCCTTTAAATTTTTCTACGTGTGAATTTGTTGGTTGTATTTCAAGCATGAACCACATACTAACAGTACATATTCCATCGAAGTACATGAAATAATGTGAAAAGCAGAGACCTCGAGAGAGATTATAAGATAGATAAGCGGGAGGAAAATAACCAGAAATTAGTGTTGTCTTATTTTTGCCAACTTTATGAACTTGTAATGTTGCGCGGTGACTTTCACGTGTCCGTGGTAATATCAAGCCAAGTTAAACCGTAATTAAATAATGTTTAGAAATTTCTGTGGGAACAATGAGAACAAATACGGCAATAACTTTACTTGGTATTGGGTAAACAGCCCGAATATCTGGGCTTTAAAAATACACAATGTAATAATTAACCATGTGCTTCCCAAATAAGGTTTTTTAAATACACAGTGAAACTCGATAAGTCGGACACTCGATAAGTCGGATTTGGCTTAAGTCGGACGAAATCTCTCAGCCCCTT